AAATTACTAGCAAACACTTACCAAGGATTGTTAGTTTCAAGTCAACTGAATGGCGGCTGTCAAGGCTGCCTATGCTATCAGTAAAGATTATATGCAAGTCGTAGAAACGCTCATCAGTCGATTGGTTCAGGTTTTTCATTGTAAACACCGATGTCAGTAGAGTRCCRGTGAGAGAAGCAGTTAGATTCAGATCCGCATCTCGACTTGCATAATCAGGATAAACAGCTCTCCTATTTGYCTTGTCATACAATATCATCGCTTCTTTAAAGCCACCTACTACCTGGTTCACTTTAACATTTCCCCATGCTTCACCTCCATTTAGATTAACAGTCCAGGTGATGTTGACACTTTGGCCTTGAATCCCGGTAGCCGAGGTTGGTTGACTCCCCCAAGAGAGTGCCTCTGTAAATCGATTGAGTTAGCAGTAAATGAAAAAAGTTAACATCATTTTGTGATTTATTTCAATGATCAGCATTATCAAAATTGAGAGAATTCGCCAGCGCAGGTCATCGCTCAAACTGAGATGGTGACATATTTAGGTACATGTTGCGAACTTCTGATTTAAAAGACAAAACAACTAACACTTTCCTTTGCTTCATATTTGATAAATCTACAGCTCACAATCCACAATTTCTCATATTTTACACTATGATTTTAAAGTTTGCAGATCTCCGACCGATAAGGTCCGACAACGCTATCTGTTATTTCTGAGTTTCACTGACGAGATTTGCGTGACACTCAAGGCAAAACGTTCTATCTAGCTGATACGCACCAAATACAGTGGTACCTCTATCAAGAAGTGGACATTCTTGCGACTTGTCAGGTGTCCGCCATGTTCGGTTTTACAGTAAATACGCGGGTTGGGGAGAAATCGTAGTTAATACCAGCTTAATAAGGGGWCTACTTAACAGAGGTACATTTTCATGTAAGTTCAGAGATGTAAGTTCTTGAATGAAGCAATTTCTAATTTCTGTAACAATGAAGTCAAATAATGCAAATACGATTGGCAACTTATAGCATCTTCTGCGTTTTACACATTTATTTGCTACAAGCTTCCGTCGCTTCCATTTTCTGACGCAATAAGCAAATGAATCAACCGGAAATAAACTAAACATGATTCACATATACCCTTCTAAGTTTGTTATCTTGTTTCTTTAGAATACTAAAACAGTTTCCTTACCGCTTGAAGAAAATATGCTAAGCTGCACAAGGATGAAAAAAAGAAACCCAAGCTTCATCTTCATCAGGACAAATGAATCACGGTAAGAACGAACGAAATATCAGCTGTTTTATGAATATTTTATCTGGTCCGTCAAACACGGTCATACTCAATARCCATGTAATATTTATGTTATTGATACTGTAGTCTCCAACTACATAAGTAGTCGAGCCTTCGTACACATTGACTCCAACATACGTATTTATTAGCTCCAGCTTGAGAATTATTTGACAATTACACGGTAGATTGTACGATTCGCTACAACAAACAACTCATAATTAATAAGCTTCACAAAAAGGGGCAAATTAAAAGGAAAAAGAGAAAGAAAAAAA